TGCAGATCCTTAGCCACAGAACCACCACTCCAATGAACCATATAGTAATAACAGCCCTTTTTATACACAGTCCCCCCACTTTAGGGGACCAAAAGTAATTGGACACATTAACATAATCTTAAATAAAATTGTCATGTTTAGTACTTGGTTGCAAATCCTGAAGTCTGCAAACCATAGACATCACCATGTCTGGTGATGCTCTGCCAGGCCTGTAATGCAGTCATGCCCAAGCCATGACACCACCTCCACCATGTTTCATTAATGAAGTGATATGCTTTGGATCATCAGCAGTTGCTTTTTTTCTCCACACTTTCCTCTTTCCATCATTCTGGTACAGGTTCATCTTCGTCTCATCCCTCCAGAAGACTTTGTCCCAGAACTCTACAGGCTTTTTTATGTACTTTCTAGCAAACTGTAACTTGACCTTTCTGTTCTTGAGGATTACCAGTGGTTTCCATCTTGTGGTGAACCCTCTGAGATTATGCTGGTGTATTCCTCTCTTTATGGTAGTCTTTGACACATCTATGCCTACATCCTTGAGAGTGTTCTTGATTTGTTCAACTGTCAAAAAGAGTTTTTTCTTCACGATAGAAAGTATTCTTCAGTCATCCACTACAGTGGTCTTTCATGGTCTACCAGGTTGTTTTCACGAGTGCATTCTTGCTTCTTAACAATGTACCAAAGAGTTGATTTTGACACACCTAATGTTTTGGCTTTGTCTCTTATTGATTTATTCTGATTTTTCAGCTTCATGGTGGCCCGGTTTACTGGTTTTGATACTTCTTTGGTCTTCATGTTGAGAGGCAACAGCAACAGACTCCAGTTGCAAATGCCACATCTAGAATGAACTCTAATCTAAACCTTTTGTTAGTCATTAGTTCTTGTGCATAAACTAACAATGCAACGACACACAGCCGGCCAAGAAACATCTGAGCAGCCAATTGTCCAATTACTTTTAGTCCCATAAAATTGGAGGGCTATGGACATTCTGCACTTCATTAACTTCATAGTCATTGTTTCATTTCAAATCCAATGTGCTGGAGTACATACCCAGAACAGCAAAAATTGTGTCACTGTCCAAATACTGTACTTACAGACTGCACTTTATATGTCCTAGTTGTTTTACACATTTCATTTACAGAGAACAAAAATAATGTTTTATTTACAACCAAGTCTACTGCATACTGTATATAGTGCACTGCGAAAGTATTCAGACACTTGAAGGTTGCTGCTTGACACTATGGATAAATTAGTATTTGTTATACAATGTACACAATTTAATGTACACATTCTAAGCAAAAAGTAAGAATAACTGGATAATAAATATGCAATAAAATTTGAAAAGGTCATGACTGAACGTCTATTCAAGCCCTTTCCTAAACCCAAATTAATTTTGGTGCACAAAATTTCATTACCCAGTCATGGAATTGAGTGGTCTCTGTGAGCAATAACACTGGTTCATATGATTCATAAGATTTAGAAAAGCATAGATCAGGAGAAAAATGTAAAACTGAAGTTAATAATTACCCAGGGACTGCCTAGATCTGGCTGACTTTCCTCAGCTGAGCAAGGAGAAAACACGTTAGGGATGCAACTGTGTCCAACAGTGACTTTGAAAAATCTGCAAATTTAATGGCTAGAATGGGTGTGTGATGTCTATGAGTCAACAATATCGCAGCCACTTTACAAAGCTGGCTTGTAGATTTGAGTGGAAAATAAATCTCAAATTCTGCATGGAGTTTGCATTTAAGTGATACTGCAAACATGTGACAAAAGGCTTTGTGGTCACACAAAACAAAATTTTGTTCTAATTGCAAAGCCTTACATCTGAAGTAAACTTCAGAGGTAGAGTGTGTGACTCAGTCATACCATCCCTACTGTCAAGAATGGCGATGGCAGCATTATGTTAAAGTTCTGCTACTCATTAGCAGGGACCGGGAAGTTTGTTAAGACTGATGAAAACATAGAAGGAGCAAAGTACTGGCAAATCTTACAGGAAAACTTGCTTCAGACCTACAACTGGGACAAAAATACTCCTTTCAGCATTAATGTCCTTGAGTAGCTTAGTTAAAGTCCAGTCTTGAATCCTACTGAAAAACTGTGGAAAACTGCTGTTCATATGCAATTCCCAAGCAACTTGAAAAAACCTGAGCAGATCTGTTAAGAGTTTACAAAAAAGATTTACATATTTAATATTTTGAAATACTGTGTATAATTTTGTAATTTCACAAAATGGGACATTATTGAAAGGTTGTTCAGGTTAATTCCACTCTTTGTGAGGGTCTGTGTGATATTATGATATGGATGCAACATCATTTTATAAAGATAAACTGTGATTAAGATCATAGGCTCTCAACATAAGCTTCTCAAAGCTGGTGACTTCAGTGATGTTGACAGTATTCAAATGGAACTCTTGATGCCAGTTAAAGACTGCAATGTTACGTTTGACCCCATGTTGTCCTTTGAAGCACATGTCTATTTTAAGGTTTTAAATTTTGAGTGTAATCCAGCTCTTAATCCGAGATCTGCTGATTTTGGCATCTCCCAAATACCAGACCCCCCCACAATGGCTGAAAGAGCTTTGAGGGTAGCACAACATCTGTGAAGCGTATTGTCCCAGATTATTCAAGAGGCTGCAATTGTCAAAATGTATAAAACTTGCTTAAAGACCTATCTTTTCGCTGAACCTTATAATATGTAGTTTACTTTTACTCTTTGGTTTCACAATATCAGTTTGCTGTTCATTTTCTTTTTTGATTCTTTGTGCATGACGTGCTACTTTACAGCACTTTGAGTTCCTTGAAAACCACTTATAATACAAAATGATTTGTTATTATTATCATCAACTGTATATTGCATTTGACTGAATAACATATGTTAGAAATTGAAGATTTTATATTTTGTCACTTTTTAAGATAGGATTTCAAGAACATATTTAAATGAAAAATGTAAATGAAACAAAATATAGATTACTGTATGTTGTTTTATGAAAATCCACATTTTTCTGAAATACAAATGTGTGCCTATATACACACAAAATATATTCCTTCTCCTAAAATAAAACAGATATTTAACTTGGCTCAGGATACATTTTAGTTTCTGATGGTAATGATATAAAAAGACTACTGCACAAAACCCCCATAAATAACTTCACAGTGTGGTTTCCAGACAGACAGAATGCTGGTAAGTGCAGGTTATGAATGCATCCTGTTGAAGACCAATCATCTGAAATGCATTGCTAATGCTAAAGATGTTCTCAGAATTCCAAGTAACCTGCAATGAGCGAAGACATCTGATTCTAATAACCTAGAATGTTGAAAGCACTGGGCGCTGACAGCTTTTTTTAAACTTTTGTCTCCTCCTATTGTCCAAAAGGACTATTTTTTTGTTTTCCATTTTTCCCAAAATATAAAGCGTTTCTGCTTACTTGAAAGAATTTTACTTGAAAACATTTATATTTATCATGTTTGGAGTTTAACCCTAAAATATCCACAGCTCGTCCTGATTTATACCATTGATCTGTCATGAACAGTGTACACGACACCAAAACAGGAGGATTAGCAAACGCTTTATATTGAGTTACTGTCACTGGCAAGCATCAATAGAAGTTATGTGACTGACTATCTCTTGCAGTCAAGGATGACTCTCTTCCTAACGAAGATGGATAATAAGACTAATTCTGGATACCTGTTCATGACATCTTTTATTGTGGAGAAACTATTGCACACCAGCTTACACATTCTGTATATCCTGACAGTAAATAACTTTGATTGAACAGCATGGAAAACAAGACAACAGGACGTCTCATTCTTCTATAGTTTTTTCTGCCAGAACAACCATTGAAATATTCCAGGAGGAATATCTTCCTCCTTTCCTGCTATTGAAGACTTAGTTGACAAAGTCGATTTACTGAGCACACAGGGTGAAGGAAGCCTAACAGGCCTTCAGCGTAGACAAAGCCCTTCTAGTAGGACTATTAGTAGGCCATGACCACATGACTCAACAATAACTCCTGCATGCATTGTCCCTTCATAAATATTCATAATAATACACTGATGAAGCTGAATTTACATTTTCTTACAACCATCATAAATTCTGATTTACATGTAATGTAGTATGTATTCTTACATACCTTAATATATGTCTAACACTTTCAAAAACAAAAAAACTAAAACAAAGAAAAAGGCTAACCACTTCAGCAACACACTACAACAATGCACTGTTTTTTAAAATAAGTACCTCATATACAGTATGTCAATTCAAATTTTTGTGAAATGATCATGAACAGCTAAGGACACAGATATAAAATTTGAAATGTCAGTTTGTCAGATATTTATTTATTAGCTTGGTATCAAAACATTCAGATAAATTTAATTTTTATATTGTTTTTGCAGAAAAGCTAAACTAGTTCAATCAAAATTCTGCAACTTAAATCAAACTGTTTTATCTTCAAATGATAAACTGAAAGCTGAAAGCAGAAATGTAATATTAAAGTGTACATTCAAGGATGCAGAGAAAATATTTTACTTATCAACCTCAGCAAGAAGAATCCATTAAAAATTACTAAGCCTGTGAACCCTTTGCAGGTGTGCAAAAAGGGATGCAGAGAAGCAGGTGCAACTCTAACAAGAGCTATTGGTCCTGTTGTCAGAAAGTGTCAACAACAGTATTATAAATACTTAGCAAATGCACACCGCATGGCAGTGAATTTCGAACTGAGAAACATGAAGATGGAAAAAAACACAGGAAAACAGAATTAATTTGACAGAACCCAGAAGGAAGATTCAGATTTACTCTACACTCTAAAATAGGAAGACCCATGTACTGTTAATAATATGTATACAGTATATGTACTGTATACAGTAAAGTAGGTTAGATATAACACAGATGCTATTAATCTTAATCATTAATGGTTATAATTACAAGCAGAACTCCTGTGACTGATCCTTAGAATTATGTAGCGGTGCAATTGATGGCACTGAGAAAGGGAAATCACTTACCTTTAAGTATTTTACCAGCTTCTGAATTTGCCAGTACTCTGAGGGTAGGTCTGTGTTTGTCTCTTGTCTGCGGTCAGGCTGCTCCTCATCTTCTTCACTTTCTGTAGAGCTCTCACTGAACTCTTCAGTACCAGGTCTTCCTCCAGGGGTCTTACTTCTTTAAAGAAATAAAATACATTCAGTAAGTATTTTCTGAACTGAAATATTCAAAGCTAGTTGACAAAGTGGTTCTTAACAATATCTTGGACTGGTGCTGGTCCACAACTCAGTTTGTGAAAGTCTAAAACCAAATAAACATTCTTTGGTTCTGTTACAACACTCTGCACTTTAAGCATAATGTGCAGTGTTAGCCCTCCAATTTCCAGATGTTTCAATAATGTAGCTGGATGTAATGTAGGGGATGTAGTAATGATGCAATGAACATACTAATTTGGTATCTAAACATCATAAATGCTGTACAAGGATCTAGAGAAATAAAGTGTGGAGAATTAAAGGTAGAAATGCAAGCATTCAGCACAACTATAGGTTTACTACAGTATATATAATATAGAATAATGGGTTTACTTCAATGTCAGATCAATCAATAAATTACATCATATTTTTAGAATCACAAAATATTTAAAAGCAAACAGACAGACATTCTAAATGCATTTCTAAAGAAAGTTTGACTGAAATTCCTGAAATATTATGTGGTCATTTATTAGAATACTGCGATCTGTTATTGCAATTAAAATAGTTATAACCGTTTTATTTTAGAGATGATGATGCTAAATGTGTTATATGAATCATCTGATTGTCAATAAATATTAATTTACATTATAATTTGAGAAATAGGCCTCCACTGAGACCTGTTTGCATTTTCTGTAAAACAAACATGCATGCTTTTGATTTCAGTAATATATTTCTGTGCAGTACAAAAATTTGTTTTCAAGAATAAGTATTATAGATATATAAAATGTGTATTGCTGCCCTGGGAAAAATAAAGCAAATAATAAAGTTTCTTTAAAATTAAAATTGTAAAGTGCACTTGGACTGGTCAGCTACATTTAGTCTGAAAATAGAGTTGTAACTGTATTTCATTACTGTAGTTTGCCGGTTGCTATCATTGCACCCAAACTTTTGTTTTCCATTACTTCCAAATCATGTCCCCGGAAATGTCTCCATCGTAAGAGGTATGTCCCTATCCCATGATGCACAAACTACTTTACACTGAAAAGCATACATACTGTATTTAGACAATGAAGTGTAATTTGTCACTTTTGCATTGTTCTAAAAATTGTATTTCAGATAAAAGATTAATGAGGCAAAAGAACAGAATTTCATCTTTTTTTCTGGTTATTATTTCACATACATGTTTAGCCATGTTAGAACGATGTCATGTATTGTGTTCAATCACCCCCATTTCAAGTGAGCACAAGTACTGGGATAATTGGCTGACAGATGTTCCTAATTGCTCGGTGTTCCATGTTGTGTTTATTCTAAAAATATAAAAGAGCTATGAATGTAATCTTGGATCCAGCCACTGGGTTTTATATTTTACTGTAGGTCTGCCTCTTGACTTAGAAGGTATAAACCAAGATGGAAACTACAGAGTGTTTATAATAGAAAACAAGCAATTATGAATGAAAATTCCAATTAGAACCACTGCAAAGAGATTGGGCATTGCAAAATCAACAATAAAACCCCCTAAATAATAGCCAAGGATTGCAAACAAGGAACAAAGTTTTGGAATGAGGTTTTATGGATAGATGAGACAAACATCTACCAATGTGACTGAAAGGCAAAAGTGTGGAGAAAGAGAGGAACTGCAAATGATCCTAAGTAACCTCCTGAACTGTGAAGCACGATGGAGGTAGTGTTAGGCCTTGGGTATGCATGGCTTCCTCTGGAACTGACTCACTGGTCTTTACTGATGATGTCAATGAATTCTAAAGCATACACAAACATCTTGTTTGCCCATGTCCAGAAAATATCTTCAAATTCGTTGGTTGCCAAGTCACCCTGCAGCAAGTCAATAACCCAAAAGGGTTCATCAGAAAGAAGTGGAAACTTTTGAACTGGCTAAGTCAATCTTCTTTGAATCCAATTGAGCATGCATTTTATTTGATGGAGAAGAAACTAAAGTCAGACAACTCCATAAATAAGCAACATCTGAAATTAGAGGCCGTTAAGGTTTGGAAAAACATCTCAAAGGAAAAGATCAAGACTCTGATGATGTAGATGGGTCACAGAAATGTAGGAATCATTGCTTGTAATTACATTATACTAGCTTGACTTAGAGTTATTTTGTCCCAATACTTATGCTCATGTGAAATTTGGTGGGGACAGAATAAAAAATATTTTTTGTTCTAATAGGGTTTAATATGCATGCACAATACTATCGAGAAATTCTGTACTTTTGCCTCATATTTATTTTTGCTCTGAAATATATATTTCATTAGCACACAGAAAAACTGATAAATTTCACTTTACTGTCCCAATACTTACATTTGTCATTGTTTATGAGGATCTCAATAGGTGAGTGTGCAGAAAGAATAGTCCAATTTTCTGTTCCTTATGTTCATATTTTTACGTAGGAAACAATATACAGTAGCTTAAGAGCTCATAAACACATATTACAGAACAGAGGTGTATATAAAAAAGGATGTGCACAGTAATTTAGATAGTTCTCTTTGGTGACATCTGCCAGATTGAATTTACCTAAATACAGAAAATCCACAGGGGGAAGCACAGGAATGAATGCATATAACACTTTGTTCCTATTTAAGTGTGCTTTTCCACCAATCTTCATACTGTGATCAAACAAAAACTGATAGGATCAAATCATAACTTACATTCAGAAAATACCACAGCAAAGCAGACATTGTAATTTATAAGGAAATTTTCTTCTGGCTACTCACACAAAACAGAAACCTTAAACTATACTAGCTTTAATAAGAATGACCAACCCTTCAAAAGTTTTAAGTCTAGTAAAGATAATTTAATTACAATGATTCGTGTAATGTATCGGATGTCAGGCACAGCTGATTCCTCTATGAAATATATGTAGATATAATAGGCAAATGTTTTTATATAATAAAACATGAACATGTTTAACTCACAGATTACGTACGTTTTTGGAGATGAGTGTTGTCTGGAAGAGACTGACAAGGAAAGGTTTGCCCTTTTTTTTGTCTCTGGACTGATAGGTGAGGCTTCGGGCGATATATTTTTCTCATACATTCCACTCTTTTTTCCATTGTCGATTCTATCCCTGAAATCAAATTCTTTAATTAATAGATATAGTGTACATAGATTTACTCTTATATTAACATCCATTCATTACAATATATGATAAATATATATTTGGGGCGGAGCGGTGGCTCTGTGGCTAAGGATCTGCGCCTGTGACTGGAAGGTTGCCAGTTCAAATCCGCCGTTGGGCCCCTGAGCAAGGCCCTTAACCCTAACTGCTCCAGGGGCGCCGTACAATGGCAGACCCTGCGCTCTGACCCCAAGCTTCTCTCCCTGTCTCTGTGTCTGTGTCTCCCTGGAGAAAAGCTGGGGTATGCAAAAAGACGCATTCCTAATGCAAGAAATTGTATAGGGCTAATGAAGAAACATTAAACATTAAACATTAAATTCATTTCTCAGCCATAAAGTAGCTTTTAATCTGTTTGTTATAAACTCAGGAAATTTCTTGGCATGGGCATAAAAACAAAAAGAGGTGACAATCCTTCTAATCAATTCTGTAGTAGTTCTTTTAAAGATCAATGGAGGTCATAATGACTTTATGAAATAGCACAAAGCACATGTTCCAGTTCAATGTCTCTCTCTATATTCTATTGTGAATCTGCCTTAAGATGTTGTTGAGACCATTAATAGCAGTAGATTCCTCAGTAGCATCTGTCTGAGATATTTTCTCAAATGGAAACAGTTCTGTTATATATTTGTACTTACTGAAATAATCCTTAAAATTAGACTGATTACTTGACTCATTTTCCTTTTCCAGAAAAATTCAGTTTGAGCTTTGAGTTAAGGAATTGTAATATTTCACAAGAATACCATTCTTTCAATGATCAACATTCACAGTAAACAAAATATACCTCCACAATTGTTACTTAATAAAATGTGTCTCTTTATGCCTAAAATAATACAACAACAGAAATTCTGTATCACTCTTTTAAGGCACCGGCATTGTTAATGACATGCTACTGATCATAAAATAACCAAACAAGTTTAAAAAACTAATATCTGAACAATAGTTACAACTGGAATTGTTACATACTCATGCAGAGATGTTAAACCAAGATTCTTCCATTTTAAAGATGGTTCTAATTTCTTTTTGCTGCTTGGCTTGTTCTGAGCAGGCTGTTGTCTCGTCTTCTCATGCACATTCTTTTCTTGATGCTCGTAAGACCTCTGGGTTTGGCCTTGTTCCTCAGCATCAACCGATTCCACATGTTGATTCTTTTTAGTTGATGAAGGTTCTTCATAAATTGCAAAATCCTGTTAAAAACAGGAAAAAGACATTTCTCTGTTTATACCAAAACACTAGCACTGAAATTTACAATAAATTATGCTTATAAAATTATATAGGCTTGGGTTGTAAAAAAACTATTTTCTCTTTGAATGATTGTTCTTTTTACAAATTATTACAAATCCTTTATGACTCTTTTAAGTTATATGACATACTTTCCACTCAACATCAAATAGGCTCTTTATTCTTTTTTGAGAGATATGACACATACCTGTATATCTCTGAAAGGTTTTGCAGCTTTCTATCCCAAGAGGCATAACACAAAATTAACAATATATTTTTGGTCATGGCTGGTTTATTTAATTAGCAATGGCAATTGATCAATCTAAATGCTGAATATAAGGTAAGGGCTCTAAAGAAGGTCAAGAGCATTATGGAGTGTTTGGCTCATCCCGTCCACTGTGAATCTGCACTACTTCAATCTGGGAGATGCTTTTGTGCCCCAGCGTGTGACAGTAACAAGATCCAGAAAATATTTTATTCGTTTTGCAATTTCATTTTTGAATAATGTAAACTAATTATGTCTTTTCCTTTCTTAGTTTTTGTGGCATATGTTGCTAAAATAGAATATTGTTTGTCCTGACCCCCTTGATGTGATGGTAGTTGTTATGTTGTACTGTTGTACTGGTAAAACTAATTTCTCCCAGGGGATAATAATGATGTTTGAATTGAAATGAATGGTAAAAATAACACTGCAGTCACTATCGAGCCACCAATGGTCCACTAATACTGTAATATTCAACATTCGTACAACAAAGTACAACACCTTCAAAATTATTTGATGAATAATATGAAGTTTTTTAAAAGAAATTTAATGTGCCAGAATTTGGAATTTCAAACCTAGAAGGTATTATTATTGTAACAAAGTTTTTCAGTGATAATACTTAAAATTTATATCCCTCTGTTTTCAGATTTATGTACCCTGCCAATTGGATCCATGCATATGGTATGCAGTTAGGAAAGTTTTTAATCATAGACACCTGTTTAGTCATAAATATTTTACAATGTCTTCACAAAACTTCAAAGCTTCATCTTTACAAAGATTCATTTTGATTTGTGCATCTAACTTGTCGTTTTTAACTTTTTTGTTCAGATTCATTCATTTACTTTTTAGTGTTTGCAGCTTTGGCAGTAAAATTACCTGTTCCTAATGAAATATTGTAAGCAAATAGCCATAAATAAAGAATGACAAATTACTTTGTGTACCTTTTGTGAGCAAAATGTATTATAAGTAATACAACTTTGAAAGAAGTTTAATTATTCACTTAAATCAATTAATTAAAGAATGGAACAAGATGCACTTATACGGAGCATTATCTGGATATAATCTAAAAAAAGCTATTTTTTTCACAAAAGCACATCAATGATTTATTTTCATTAAAAATGCAAAGCATATAATTAAGATTCTATTAAAGTATTATAAAGTGTAAAGGTGAGCACTGCATTTGCATAATAGAAAACATGTATTCTATACAGTATGGTGTATATGCAGTCTGAGTTTACATGTTCTGTATTTAATTATAAGAGTCCTGAGTAGGTCTGTAATGTAATTACAGCATTTATGCAATTATTAGTTCCATTAAATTTTCAAAAATATTTTTTTAGATGTGCAGTTCATTGCTAATAAGCTGCAGTTTACAACTTACTCAATATTTCAAAAATATACATTATGAAATAAAGGCTCCATGTTTTTAACATAACTATTCATTATTGGCTTTGATAAAAACAACTTGGGAAAACTGCAAAAAAAAGTTGGAGTACAGTAATTCATTAAAGAACCAAATAAGCAGTTTATGAGATAAAGACAAGCCCCATAGATTTAATTATCAGGGATGCTTAGAGTTTTTCTTTGGATTTAACCGCTTAGCTATAGGGTACCGTAAAAAAGAGGATCACAGAGGATGGTAGCAATGGGGTTGGTGGAGGATTGTTTAGCAGAAAATGGCAGGAATCAAGCAATGGGCTGAACCAGGAGTGTTCATTGTAAACTCTGCTTTTAAAATGTATAAACCAAATGTATAAATCCAAATATATAAACAGCTTACTTGTATTAAGTCTTGGGAAATATAGGTTATATCCTTAACTGGTTTACATTGTATTATGTAAATTTATAACAGCTGTTTATTGCTGTTCACTTCACATTGCTTGTTATAATGAAATACGAAAGCAGCTCAAGGATCTAGGAAATTACATGCTGTCATCTTATATACACCAACTCCCTTTTATACACTCACAAACTGACCCATTTCCTTGTGACTTTAAGCTCGTACTAGAGGAAATCACTCATCCTCAAAGAACATAACTAAATTACCTGGGTGTTGCCCTAAATAGAGGCCATGGCTTTCATGTTTTACCCTGTCCATCTCTGGGGCTTCTCTGCTCATTCTGGCCACAGACAGCTTTAACACAAACTTCTTCCTAAATGCATACACACTTTATCACTTTGCCAAAACCACCACTTAGAAGCTGGCTTATTGTTAGCTGTATGGTAATCCATACATTTATACAGATTAATGTTGTCAATGCACACTGCTCCTATTTTAAAACAGGATTATAAGAAGGGTTACATATGAGACACAACCAGTTGATCAGTCTTGCCATTTTGGTGGCTAAATGCTAGTCGGTTTCAACAACTTGGCTGCACAGCTTGTGCCAGGATCCCATAACTCTCAATCCTAAATGTATTTCCTTTTAATTACCAGTTGTCAGTCCTTTCATCTGTTAAATTTAAAGCAGTTTAATCATTTCACTTTAACAAACAGCTTTGACGATATTGAAATCAGGATCAAACATTTACCTTTTCTCAAGAATAAAGAGATTCAGCACTGTTAACATTACTTTTTCATTTCATTTTTGACCAGTCGCATTTCTTTGAGCTCTTTTTAGGGAAACAGCATCCATTTTACGATGTGCTCCACTTCATTGTTTAAACAAAGACAAACTCCTAAATCTATTTCATGTGCTATTTCTCCAAGCTCAGCAAAATCCCTGTGACATCCCTTTGATATATAAATTCCTGTATCAGTATTTTCTTTGTTAAATATTGTTGTGCGCTGGAGTGGGGTATACTAGTTATACCAATACAGATTATGACAGATCCATTTAACATTCTGTACCATTATCCAGCACAATCCAGTAATCAGGTTTAATCAATAAAGGCACACAGATGTCTTAAACAGGCTACATACTGAAGCAAATGGCTCCACTATGTCTAGAGAGCTATAAAGTTTGCAGAGCCCAAGGTCCACTTGGAGGTGTGTTTACCACTTACAAGTATGTTGAATCTTGGGATGGCTTTAGAGCTCAGAGGTAAAGAAATAAGAACAGGCAATTGATGCTGACAATCTTTAGCCATATACTGTACAGTACACTGGACATCTTCCCTTGGAAGGGGAAATACAATCAGTCAGAGACTTCCAGGAAAGACACTCAAACAAGGTAATGAAATAGCGAGCTAAAAGTTGAGCAGCTGTTACATGAAAACCAGCTTAGTATATAAGAAGTAAGCCTGGCCATCAGTACAGTATGTCTACCTTCCCCTTTAGAAGAAGAAAGACAATGTCAATAAGATTCACCTCTATAAGAAACAAAGCAACAGCTTACTCTTTGAGGCCTGGAATATAAAACATATTTCTGAGGACTAAAGAGATCAAAGGTAAAATTAGGGGCAAATGGAGTAATGCTATTCCATCATTGAGTCAGGGAAGCCTTGGACTGTAGAAGCATGAAGTTTTGTGTCCAAAAATGAATGTTAATTTGTCTTTAACATTCGTGTCTCCTCATTGCACTCCCATGTCACGGTACTAGAGAAATAAATAATTAGAAGGTGTTTTATCAGGTATATTAAATTGGTATCAGGGTAATTTTTACTTATATACATTAGTACAATAACAAGTAACAGACTCCCTGTTAATTACAATATGATTACAATAAAAAAATGAAAAGATCTCGTCAAGTTCAGATTTCTTCATTAACATTTACTGTCTTTGTGTACTGTAGGTTTGCTTGGAACCACACCAGTTGTATTTTTTGTGGTGAATTAATAATAAGCTTTTTAATAGAGAACATATTTGACATGAAAGAATACATTTGGAGGCAATTACAAAGAGCTTAGTTGGTGCTAAATAGTGAAAATTAGTTTTTATGTCTGCCTAGTTCATGCTGCAATGAGACATATCAAAATGTCAGCAAGGTTAACTTTTTCAATTCCCCAAGGGAAAGTAAATTGCTGCAAAATAAAACAATATGTTTTGACAAGAACAGCTTTACAAAGGAAGCCATTACCTAGAGTGACATTTCACAATGCAGTGTGAGAACAAATTTCAGCAATGTATGTTTAAGTGAAATTTACTGTAGGTAAACACTATATATTCATCCTACCATTTGATAGTGTATGAATCTGGGCAGCTATCAGAAGCGCAATTAAAAATATATATTTGTTTTTAGTTATTTTTGGGCTGCATTTTCTGCACAATACACACATTCTAAACTATATACTGTACTTCTAAACCAAAAAAAATGTAACAAAATATGCAATAATAACAAATACTTTTGGTGGTGTTTCAGTACATTTCTAGCACTTTAGATTTGGCAAAAGAGACCCTTTTTAAAAACTGGGATTTTAAAACATATCACATAAAAGTAAAGCAAATCCACTTTACACAGTGTCCAGGAATTGCTGTCTCAGATAATAATCACTGTTGTCTATTTTACTATTTAAAAGCACTCTTATTTTATCTATTCTTATTTACATTTCTCAATTATCAAGATACTCATTTGACACTACAGCTTTTTCTTATTTATAATTGTTACAGTACGTCCCAGTGTGTGTTCTGTGTTTGTTT